ATAGTGTTCTTCAACTGAGAAAATTGATTCAGTTGTGTAGTAAGCTAACTACAAAACTGATGCCAGTCTGTGTTTTAAAGCATGAACAGATACAGTGTATTTCCATTTGTGCACCGTGCAAATCACTGAAAGTGCAGTTTGGGTTTTTTATCACTGTAACAGTTCTTTTGGTTTCAGTAGGACTGATACTTGGGCTTTTTTTTTTTTCTTCCCTTCCACCTTATGGAGGAAAAGAGTAATTAAGTGCCTCTAGTTAATGGAAAAGTACATTCTCAGTTGGTTGTTCGATTACTATGACATGCTTCAGTTTGAACTTGAGGAATCTTAAGACAGTCTAAAGTAGCAGGTTGCTCCCATGCATCACCTCCTGCTGGCTGCAGTGTGTTGGAGGGCCAAGCTACTGACTATGCAGTGGCTGTTGGATTGCACAGGTTGTTATGGGGACGCAATACTGGGACAAAAACTGCATGTTCCACCTTGATGCCAAACTGTAGCTCTAGTTTTTTTGGCTGACAGTTGTTCTTTGCCTAAAACAATGCACCATCCATAGGAAAATTTATTTTTGCTGTGGTGCACTCTGGGGAGCAGTGCTGGGAATCTGCTTGTGCAGGTGCTGCAGCTGCAGTAGATATCTGATCAGCATCACAGATAACAGTATTTGCTGACACCAGATTTCCAAGATAAGTTTGGTTCTGCATTGAGCAGTGTTTGGTTCTTTTGGGTTGTGTTGGGTTTACTGAGACCACGTCAGATCACGTTTTGTCTACTGTTCAAACATGCTGATGAAGGAACAAGTCTGGAGAGGACCTGAGTCAGACTGGTATTAGCTGCTGCAGCAACCATTACTATTGATTTGGGAGTGTTTCTGAGATAAGTATTTTGGTTGATGTGCTGAAAATCCTTGGGTTGGTGTCAATGCCACGAACGTCCGTGCTGACTTGGAAGAAGTTTAATATACAAATCCCTGGCCCCTTCTCCCTACCCAGCACTTATTACCTGCATCTCACCAAAATTGTACCATGGTACTGAGACATCTAGAACCAAGAAGTGATCTAAGCGTTTTTGTCACTCGAGATATTCCACATGATGTTTTATGAATAGTGTGGAGTATCTTCTATTTGTGAGCTCTCCAATATTTCCTGTTGCAGTACAGCAGAAACTAAGAGTTGTTCTAGTAGGCACATCATGGCAGTATGGCTCAAAGTGTGAGCATAGCTCTGTTCCTGAATAGAATCAGCAAAACACTAGACTAAGTTGCAGTATTTAGATGTTCATTCTGAGTGCTGGTTTTTGGAGGCAGAGTGGATGTGGATCTTTTGCCTGACTCTGTCTGAATTTGCAGTGGTAAACAGAAATTCTAATTTCTCTTTAAGATGAACATCAAATTTGATGTAGAGGAAAGACTGGGAAAGAATAATTATGGATCCAAGTTGAGGGAGGGAAGATTTAGGTTGGATGTTAGGGGGAAGTTCTTTACAAGGAGAGGTTAGGCCCTGGAACGGGCTGCCCAGGGAGGTTGTGGATGCCCCGTCCTTGGATGTGTTTAAGGCCAGGTTGGACGGGGTCCTGGGCAACCTGATCTGAATGTGGATGTTTGGTGGCCCTGCTAGGCAGGGGGGTTGGAACTACATGATCCTTGAGGTCCCTTCCAACCCGGGTGATTCTGTGATTCTGTGAATAAGCATGGAAACAGAAGGTGCTGGTTATATGAAATAATTCTTTAGAGTTTAATTATATCGGGGTTGGGGACTTGTTATAATTAAACAAGCAAACATAAAAGGCAGAAAACTGTTTGGTTTTCCAGTGCGTGCTGTGCTGAGAGCGAAAAGGTCCTCAGCCCACAAAACCAGCAGGGAAATTAAATGATAAATAGTGAAAGCTTAGATCATCCACTTTAAGCGTGATTGATAGGTAGTGTTCCTGGCAAATGTCTGGAATTCTGGGAGCTGGGAATGAGAAATGCAAAGTACTGACAAATGGCCATCTGCATTTCTCTGGCTTTTTAATCTTTTTTCAAGGTGATGTGTATAACTTGGAGTTACGTAAAAAAGGAGGTTTTTGACTCGGGTTCTCTAATGATGCCTTAGACTTTGCCAAACACATTCTGATGAGTTTAAGTGTTAACCTTGCTCTTCTTTCCAATTGCTTGATAGAACAGTTTCTTTCTTCTATTCTCTTTTTTCTAAGTGCTTGTTCTTACCTTATGGAGAATGTGTAAGCAGAAGGACATTAAGTATGCATCATTTAAAAAATGGACTTTATAGAAGTAAAGCAGTGTGATGGTTGTATGTCTGCCTTTTTTTTGGAAATTTGACCATTATATGGGATTGGTTTTATCTAGAGCTCTAGCAATTAATTTCAAGGAAATTGTTGTTAATTGAAAATAGTACAGCGTCTTGCTTTAGCTTGCTTTATTTCATAAAATGTGAGGCTCCTGTGATCTGACTCAGTTTTTGATCCGTGCATTAGTTGTAAGCATGCATCCAGCAGACGTACCTCTCCTGTGTGCTTCTTGCCACAAGTGGGAACTACCTGGCAGTGCCCTCATTGCAGAGCAGAGTTCTGGGAGAGCTGCAAATAGCAGGAGGAAACTGGAGCTGCTGGCACAGGTGAAGGGCATGACTGTCTTCATACATTATGTGGGAAGCAGTTAAATTTGTGAAAAGATAAAACCTAACTAACTTGTTCATTGTGTTTCGTTTCCTATGTACACAGAGCAACACAATGCTTGTAGTTGCACTGTATTAATTAGATTTCATGTTGCTGTTGGGCGGTAGAATAATTATTGTGTCTTTTTACGATACAAAACCTTCTCTGGAGAGATTAAGAAATAGCCCTAGATACAAGCTGGAATTTCTCTCCTTTGTGCTTGGACTATCTGTTCTGACTGTTGCTCATCAGTGACAGCACATTTCTGTACTTGACAGTTTTCAGAGTGTTAATTAGAACAGTTGTTTAGCTGATTGCCTGGAAGATTCCAAGTAAAAACATATTTATTCCAAAGGCAAACAATCAATTTTTACTAATGAAACGTATTAATTTTTATGGTGCATAAAAGTCTTTTCATTTCAATTTTGTATATTGTGCGTTTGCCCGTCTAAATGCTTTAAGGATGATGTACTATTTTGACTGTGTGGAAGCTATTTTTGTAGGCCATTTTTAAGACATCTACTGAAAAAAGTGTGTGCTTAAATAATTGAAAACATGAAAAGTAGGTGCCATTAAAAATGAAAAGTTACTTACTGCAGTTACTTGTTGGGCAACCACCATGTTCCATGATATGCAACCTTTGTAGTACTGCTAGATGTTGATGCTGCCCTGTGTAAAGCGACAGCGGTAGAAAGGATGTGATTATGGTGCTTTTGCCTAACTCTTTGGGGAAAAACGTGTTTACAGATGGCTTCAGTGTCTGTATGCATTTGAAACTGAAAGGCAGTCTACACCATTATCAAGCATTCAGGGAAAAACTGGTCCCTGGCAGGTGGAATGCACAGGCATCTGTGGAGGCTTTAAGAGCACATCAGTATGAAGCCTTGCTTATTGTGCTACGGTGTAGTGTGTCATCAGGCTGAGATAACTTACCCTCAAAGAGAAAATACTTGGTGTCTAATGGAAGAGATTGTGTAAAGGTTGGATGTAGAGCTCAAGGGCTGGCATGAATGTTCTGGGTCAAATTTAGAATTTTATGTGTGACTACTTATTTGGGGAAAAAACCTAAAAAGGCCATGGTGAAATCAATAAACTAATATATATCTTGATGCTTTGGCTTTAAGAATGACTACAGGCAAATGATTACTTGTGAAACAAGTGAATAACCGATCCTAGCACAACTTTGTAGACATTATGGATGTATTTCCTTTGTTGCTTTGTCCTAGAAGAGATTTGCATTGGTGATATAACACAGTGGAGATTTAAGAGAAAAATATCATTCAAAACGAGAACAGTGTTGTTACTCGTTATCAAGAGAACATCTGAATGTTCTTACTTTGTTAGCATTGCATGTTGGCAAGCAGAAAAACAAAACAAACCAAAAAAAGCAACCATTACTCTGGAAAGCAGCTGGTAATTTTCTCCTAGACACCCCCCTTTGTGCTCAGCCTAAGTCAGGATGACCAGTGAAATCCACCCTGGGGACTGCTCTTTGGGCAGATTTTGGAATACCTGCCATGTGTTGTAGTGCCCAGATGAGTGCAGATATTCTTATTCCTCAGGATTTCTTTGGTTGTCCCCAGGCTAATAAAGATGGGTATGTAGGAACGGTGTATTTTCCGTCTTCCTGTAAATAACAATATGAATATTCTTGTCAGTATTGTCTTGATAGTAACTCATTTGTACTCTTCTTCTCAACAAAACTGTTGTCTTAAACTTATGCTGTATTATATGGGGACACAACACAAACAGCTACTGGAAGATTTTTTTTTTTTGAGACTCTTACCAGTTGGAAAGCACTAGTGCCATCAGATCTGCTCTTTCATGCTGTTGTAAAGGTGAACCTTTCTACTGATGATCTCACAAAACAGGCCCCACTTAATTTAACAGAGATGCATAGCAACATTTTGTTACAGCCTATAACTGCACTGAGTTTATTGACACAACGGTGGGTGTTAGCCAGATTAAGAAAACTCAACAACTTGTAAGAAACACATCAGTTACAAGAAGAAAGGGAAAATGGATTTCCTCTCAGTTAAACTCTTAAAAAGAAATAGGAAGATAACATGAACCAAGACTAAAGTGTTTTCCTTGACTGTAAGAGAAGAATCTTTATTGACAGTTAAAGGGGAATTGTTATATGGAAACACTTTTTGATTGTGATTTATTTTTACAGAATTTTCTAGGCTGTTATAATTAACAGAAAAAAGGTTATCAATGGAATATTTAAAAGAGCTTGTTTTCCAGCCAGAATGGAAGAACTGTGACTTCATAAGTGAGATGTATGCTCTTTAATATTTTTGGCAGAAATAGCACTGTTATTGAAAGCAACGCTGCTTCTTTTTTTCTAGGCAAAGGAGATGTTTTTGGTGATGTCTTCTGGAAGGAGTCCACCCTTGCCCAGTCCTGTGCAAATGTAAGGGCTTTGACCTACTGTGATCTTCATGTGATTAAGAGAGATGCCTTGCAGAAAGTGCTGGAGTTCTATACAGCCTTTTCACACTCCTTCTCCAGAAATCTCATTTTGACTTACAACTTGAGAAAAAGAGTAAGTAGCTTTGATTTAACATACTATATAAATGTTCACTTCTAAGGTCTGTCTGTATGAAAACCCAAATTGGCTTGAATTGTGACATTCTTCATCACCTCCCTTGGAAGATGTTTTTTCAGACCTTGCCTAAAAGACGTGGCTAGCATATAGAGTCAAAAGGCCATATGCGTTTATTCCAGTGCTTTAGAGAGATCTGGATTACGTACATGTGAAAGTCTCATATTTCTCTGAAGTGAACAGATTTAAGCATAATTGCAATCTGTTATGCGCTTTTAATGAAACAGAGTTAACTACTTTATTTTGTAAAGCAGCTAAAAAGACATTAGGTGTGTTGCCTGAAGTACAAGGAAGATGGAAGAGAAGGTATGAAATCTAATTATGTAGAATAAAAATCAACTGCGATCACAATGGGAAAGTAATATGAACTTGGGCAATTCTATCAAGATTTATATCCCTTAGTAACAACCAGATTTTGGAATTACTTTGCCTAATTAATGCTTCCATTTTCTTATCCTTGATGCTTTCTCTGTCTTAATTTCTTCCTGTGCGCTGTTTCAAAGTATTTTGTCCAACATGAATCATCATAACCTAATATTCCTTTTTAAATTCTTTGAATTTTCATTCTTCAATGAACCATTGCTGTAGAAATTGACCATAGTAGGTGTAATTCAAGTCACTATGATATTATGATACTGCAAAGAAGGCAACAATATTACACTGAAAATAAGTTGGATCAGGTCTACTTGCTTTAAAAGAATATTATGATATAAGGATACTTGAAATTAGCTGAAGAAATATGTTTGGTAGGAGACTTTTTTGTTCCTAAAAACTTTCTTCATGGTAATTTCGGGGTGCCAACTAAGTCCTAGATAATTATATCTGAAAAATTAGAAATAGTTTTGTATTTGAAGTCTGTTGTGAAAAGTTAGCCTTCAAGTCTAGAGTATTATTATTTTTTAACCTAGAATTAACCCATTGAAATTAAAATAGTGTGATAATGTTTTTCTTTTAGTCTGTGTATGTTAGCAGTTTCAGAGAATTTAGCTTTTCAGTATTGAGCACCACAGATTTGGTGATGTATGTATTTAAAACTAAGAAGCAAATTCATAATGGCAGACTTCCCCACAGAGTGCTTTGTCAAATGGTCTTGAGTTCCTACAGGACAAGGAAAATACCTATAGCTGGAAGGAGACTGAGGCATACATCCAGATTAAAACCCAGCTATTCACCTGGTTTTAATAATGTGAGGAATAAAAGGAATTAGTATTGAGTCCTTTGGAGCATCTGCATCACTGACTCTGGCATGATTTAAAATAGCACTATGGGTACTTACTGTAAGGTGGTCTAGGAACGTGTATCTTTTTTTCAGCATCAGTAAAAATCAGAGTAAAAATTTTCAGCGTAGAAGGACCAACTTCCTTGATGCACACAGCAAGGCTGGCAGAGGCATATGATTTTGGCTTTGCCTTGAGCCAGAAGTTCCAATTTTAGAATTGGATGCCTGCTCCAGAAGTGATGTTCTTTCCCTCCATGTTCATTAGTGTAGCCTTTCCCAGTCCATCTTACAAATCACTTTTAATCCACAGTATTGTAGCCCCTGTGCAGTCAGTTTTCTTCACAAAATGTTCCTAGTTAAAAGGTACATCTTATGACAGCAGTTTCCATCCAGTTATTCAAATAATTGGATTTTAATTGAGTTGCAGTCAGCAGAAAAGTGGCAGTGATTGATAGTGGAAGTGAGAGTTTGATGGTTCTAGGTTAGCAGACTGTGAAGTTAATTCTTTTATTGAAAGAAGACCGATTGCAATCAGAATGCAAATGTTAAGTAAATAGCGTATGCTTTTGGAAATGCAGAGAAGGTATGGTACTTTAGAGGCTGGAGAAAATGCACATGAAAAAGCAGCTTTTTAGAGTTTGGAATTTAATCTGGTTTAAATGTGAATTTTGTATAGAAATAGCTCCCTGGCTTGTTGCTTCTAGCACTCCTCCTGGTCTATTTCTGAAAATGGAATTTTGCAGAATTCAGATGAACTGGTATCTTTGCGAATTACATTTGTGATGTACTGCATATCCTTCAGGATATAAATATCAGAATTACCCTTTTCATTTCAATAAACAGTTTCATCTCTGACTCCGAAAGTGTTGAGCTAGCTTGAGGTTATATTCTATGTATTCACAGAATCACAGAATGGCCAGGGTTGGAAGGCACCTCAAGGATCATGAATCTCCAACCCCCCTGCCACATGCAGGGCCACCAACCTCTAAATATATTCATGCCGATGCCAAACAAATGGAAAAGCTACTTGGTTGTGTTTTGTTTTTTTTTCTTTTTTCTCTGTATAATCTCCTAGGTGTATTTTTCTTTGAGGAATCCCCATCTTCAGGATGCAATATGCCTTAACTTGGCCATGGTGCTGTCTCGTTGCATATGGCAGGGTGCTTTTTACCCAGGTTTTGCCTAGCCTTAGTAACCTTTAGTGCTGTTTTGCCATGTTTGTGTCTTCTCCTTGTCTGCTGGGTCTCCCCCTCAGGAGATGGGTCACTCCGACCTAGAGCAGTGCCAGGGGAGCAGTGTCCCCCACAGGTACTGGGCTCTGGATCTGATTGCTAATGACTGTGATAGAAAGATGCAGCTATGCAGGTATTTAAGGTATCAAAACCAATTGGTCCTGACCTTAGCTCACTCTAGCGCTGGATTTAGTCAAGGTAAAAAGCCTTTTCCAGGCTCTCCCTCCATTCCTTTTTGCTGCTTTCCCTGTTGATCTTGAGCATGTTTCCACCTGCATGCCCCACTTACACCCTGCTAGCTATTGTTGCCTGTCAGGTCCGAGGACTGCCTGGCTGAGGGAGACACCTCCGGTGCCCTGTCCCTGCTAAGCTATGGCTGTCCTTGTGCCAGGAAGTTTCCTTTCTCTCAGCATCTCAGCAGACACCAGTGGAATATCCTCCTTTCTGAAACTGTCAGTCTGCTGTCAGGTGACTCCCTGAGCAGTTTCCTCAGGCGTCTGAGATCCCTCACAAAGTTATTAGCTGTCTGGTTACCTCTGTCTGGAACTCAGACTTAGGAAGCTTATTTTTCCTAAAGGAGAAGAGAAAGGAGACCTTTAATTAACTCCTTCCGCTACTAGTCATTGAAATTTTGATGTAAGTGGAAGCAGGGGGAGAGGCAGCTGCTACTTCTCTTAGCATCTTAAGAGACTGAAACTGCAGTCCGTAGCTGCAGGTGGCTGTGTCAGCCTCAAGGGTTTTGCAGCTGAAAGGAAGCTGACAGCAAATTTCTCAGTGTGTGTCTTACTCTAAGAATGTTGTGAAATTAAAGCAGGTTAATGTTTTTCTCTCTTTTTGGAATTTCAGACTGGAACCATAGTGTAGATAGTGAGGACAAGTGACAAAATCATCTTTTTGGAGGCTATGTGAGGCAAAAAATAAGTGTTCTAGATTCAGAGGGCAGGAGGCTGAGTGGAGGTCTATTTTTCCTCTACAAATACTTATATGCTTCTGGATTTCCATCCTGGTCTTCATAGCTCCTGGTTAGAAGAACCGTAAGAAGCTTGCATGATAGCTGCTTTTTGTCTTTTGCTTGGGATGAGGAGCCTTCTGTAAAAAAAAGTGAAGGGTCCTAGACAGCATTTGTAAGTGTTTGGATATTAGCAGATTTTTCTTTTCACGTGTAGGAGCTTTGCGACCAATATTTACTCTTACTGGGTAGCACCACAGTGTATTTGCTCAGTTCATTCTGCTGCAGCCATAAATGATGTTATAGCTCAAATGATCCTGCATGCTACATAAAAGAGAGAATTGTTATACATAATTTATTAAGCTGAGATTTCTCCAGTAAGCTATTTTAGCCTGGATAGAGATTAAATGACTAATTTTGAATACTTTGGAGCATCATGATCGAAGGCAACCAGAAGTTAAAATTTGTGTCCTGGAATCAAAGAGTGCAGTGGGAGGTAGGTACGTTATTTGGGATTTTGTAAGACTGAAAGGAATGTCAAAGAGCACTGCGTTTTTACAAAGCAAGCATAATTCAGCGATTTGAAACCAGAGCTCCTGCTCAGAAGTTATGTCTTGAGACAGCAGTGATTGCAACAGTGTAGTCTGTCTCTGTGTTGATGTAAGGTTGCTTCTGTACATTTAGTGCTGTGCATATTCCATGCAATCCCAACTGTGCCCGTGGAAGGGATTCCCACCATCTCTTTCTACAAGCAATTTAAAAAATACAGCTGCTCTTTTCAGCATTAGCTTCATCTTTCTTCCCTTTAATAATGTAAGCTCTAACTTGAGAGAAGATCTCTCTTAGGTCAGACGTTTCAGCAAGGAATGCTTGAAGCCTTCATTTTAAATCTCTCAGGGACTGGCAGCAAGTTGTTTTCAAAGCCACAATCCGTGGCCTTGTATTTCGTCTTTTCACATGACAAGTTTTCCAATTTTTTTTCATGACAAAGATACGAAATTGGTATCTCAGAGTTCTTCCTGATATAGAAGACTGAGCTGCTGGAATATTTTAACAAAAATTTCTTAAAATAAGTGAAAGGTTTTAATTTAAATTTAATTTTAGAATATTGGATCATTTGTTGATGGATTTCAGAATTATCAAACTGACAGGTTGCTTCTTTCTATTTTCTTTGTATTCACTGAAACAGTTGCACAAAGCCCTTTGGGAAAAGCGTCTTGATTCTTCACTTGATTCTTTTAGGGCATTTCATAGCCCTGAAAACCCAGGACACTGAACATGACTGAAATGTTTGCATGGATCTATGAATTGAGTGGAGTGCTAGATTTGATGAGAAGAAAGAGAATGTAGCTACTTTCCCAGGAATAAAATCTTTAGTACTCAACTCTGTTCTTTCTCATAGAAATATGAATATGAGGTATTCAGCCCAGAGAACTCCATTACCTTTCATATACATCACCTTAAGGTTTAGTTTTCAAAGCTTTTGTAATCTTAATTTATTTCTGTTAATTTAAGTCTGTATGGCCTTGAGCCTTAGGGT